CACTACACAAGTATAGTCAAGTTGCAATTTAATCATGCGTATTGTCTGAAATTTTTTTTACACGTTAATTATGCCATGTGTTGCACGCAAGTATGTGGATTGCAAATGGGCAATTTTTTTTTAATAGGTGTTGGTCTTCGTATTGTTTGTGTATATGCGTAGTTGCTGGCCACCCACCCCCTCGTGTTCCACAGTGCCAGCCTTCATAGGTGCTGCTACTAACAGCACTTGCCCTATAAGTAGGTTACGAGCTATACGGGGGGTCTTTGTCTTTGGAGTGATGTGGTTCAAGAGGATGTGGAGCTGAGTGGACTTGCCAATGACTGGTACCAGCGGTGTCAAGATCGGTCTCTGTGGAGGAGGCTCGTGAAGGACGCTACTGGGCAGTTGGAGGCAGTCGTCGTCCAATAACAATGGAGGGCAGAACAATGCTCAACAACGAGCGGAGCGCCGGGTGGCTAAAACACAGCAAGTTGGCACAGTAGGGGTCACAGGTCGTGCATAGGCCAGTCATCTCTGTTAGTCGACCCATAGCACCTGGGTCTGTCCCGTTACCTCCTGCGCGTTTGACACTTTGCGTGGCCTTAACGTGCACATAGATTGGCACAAGCGTCATGGTGACGTCACCGCCACTTCGTGGCGAATGGCGGTTGCTGTTGTGTATCTGTGTGACTCATTGCGCCCCTTTGGACAAGTAAGCATGCGGGACTCAAGATTTCTTTTTTATTTATGTTACTTTATTTTATGTTTTATTCATCAGACAGTATTTGTTTTTACAGTATTACATGCAAATGTGCAATATTTCTTACAATTGTTTTGTTGAACCGGAACACATTTCATAACACTGACCGTATGGGTATTGAAATAAACCCATATTATGTTCCGACTTACGAACAGTTTGACAGACGTTACAATTATGTTAGTAAATCGAGGACTGTCCCATGCACTCCGTTCGTACACTTAACACGCTGTAGACCAGCTTGTACAAACTAACACTGCTAGCTATGTCCAGCGCAATAGAAGTTCAACATAGATACACATACACTACACACGACAGAACACTGTTAAAGAATGCACTGGCAAACACACCCTGGCACACGCACTCATCACACCGATCCTCTACCCTACCGTAACTAACACAATACACAAAGAGAATGGTCCCTCATGTAGCCTCTAACAGACTTGGGGCAAGTGCTGTTAGCGAGTAGCAGTGGCGATGTTTACACACCACATCAGGCACTAATTTGAGGCTGAGTAGACCTAGGGGTTGGCCTAGGATCGGTTCAGATAATCGCTATCACCGATGTTGGCCGTGAGCGAGAATCAAACTAGGGTCGTAGCTAGGTTTCGCAGCGCTGCTAACTGCTGCGCCACCACTCCCCAATACACAAGCACACCTATACACATAATCAGAATCTGTATTTTTCCTGGAGAAATCCAACGAGCTATGGAGCTATTTTTAACAGTTGTCCAATAAGGGGCGGGTCAGAAAGCCACAACAAATAATAATAGAAACACAATAGGAGTGCAAAGTATAGGGAAGGTAAGCAAATCACAAATAATAAATATACCGCTTGTGTTGCGATCGAAACGTCGTGATTTGTTTTATTTTATTTCTAACTACGTGACTTTACCGAAAGAACCAAACAGTATGGATTCCTGCAGTCACGAAAGCTTCAAATCAAGATCTTTTTTTTATTTTACCAGGTAAGGCCCTACTGAGCTATCAGCTTATTTTCGAGAATCGACCTGGCTATCACAAATGACAGCTCAACGAAGTGGGCTTATCATCGTCATGTGGACATTTATAGCAGCAGCCAAATACTCTCTAAACGCGGAGGGAGAAAAACGGAGGATCCCCGAGGAAAAAAATCCACATGACCACGGGGAGAGAGACGCCGCAAACTCAAAATTTACAGCAGGCATAAGGGTCCAGATCAAACCCACGACCTCATGTATGTAGGCGAGGTAGTTATCATCTCGCCACCGTGATACGATACAACAGACGTCAGGGTCAGGATCAAACCCACGACCTCCTGCATACCAGGTGAAGTAGTTAACATCGCGCCAACGTGAGACATGCAAACAACACTAACACACATACACCAACCTCCTCTGCTTCCTGTACTGATCTGACCCCGAGCTCCTCCTAGGCATCCGGTCTTGTTCTCCTATAACGTGGAGGTAGTAGTAGTTGCATTCCTGAAGAACACTGCGTTATGGAAAAAAAATCGCGTTATGATATATAATATGATATAGGGGGTAAGCACAGTCCGCGATAACGTGCGTGAGTTGCGTAACGCAGGGCTGGACAAAAACCGAGGTGCGTGGTGGGTAGCATCTAGAAGCAGCATCCAGCAGCATCCCAATGCCTTGTTGTGCGATGATGATGATGCTACGCCGAGGCAGCAGCCGTTACGACCGCCGCTTTTTTCTACTCACGCCGCGTGATGTAGTTCCGTTCACTCCATCGCCTTATATCCAATTCAGCATCCGCGTTATAAGAAAGAAAATTACATGAATCGTGTTATATATCCAATTTGCGTTATGGAAACTACTATGCGTTATAGAGGAGAACAGACTGTAATAAAAAAAAATATGGAATGATAATGAGGCTTTAGCCTTTCTGGCATGAATACAGCCGTCAAGGTGTTTAACTTTATCAGTACCGATGATGCTACGACCACTGCTTATTCGTACCCGTGCTGCGCCACGTAGTTCAGTTCGCTCCATCGCATTATATCCAATTTGGCATCTGTGTTATAGAAAAAAATGCGTTTCTTTAATTACATTCAGCGCGTTATATATATGTTAATTCACATTATGAAAATGTCTGTGCTATAGGAGAATGGACTGTATGTGAATAAAAGCTTCATAGCTCATTGGATTTCCTCCAGTAGAAATAAATATTCTAATTCTACGCTACCATCCCAAGCTACTCAAACACTCGTGCGGTACACAATAAAATATAACTATATATATTTATTTTTGGTTTAACACGTAGTAGTAGCAGTCGCGATTTCACGACCAATATTATCCATAACATAGGTTAGTTTGGGTTAGATCGCGTCAATATAAATGCGTCGTTAAACCCACCACCACCCTGAGACACAGCCAACTAGTAAGGTTTGTCACGTAAACAAAACTCTCTAACACACAACTGGTCAGTGCTAAACTAGTAACGAATTGGCACATTTAGTTAAGTGACAAACCTTACTAATTGGTTGTGTTGGGTGGTGGCGGCTTTAACGACACATTTAGATTGACGTGATCTAACCCAAACAAAACCTCTATTTTGGATATTTATTTTTATTACCACCACGCAAAGGCACTTCACTTCCTAGGGCAGGCGAAACGCCGAGAGAACTCGACACCAAAAAAAAAACGATGCGATTTCCCTCCCCATTCACGCTGCTCTAGAACTGAGGACACCGCTAGTAGAGATTTGCGTTCTCCAACGCACACTTAAGCCTCAATCGGCGAGCGGGGTGGGGGGGGGGGTCTCACCAACGGGGACAGGCGGAAGAAGGGACAGCGCAAATCGTGTTATACAGGCACCCGCACAAAAGAGGGCTGTTGCGACAATGGTTACGATCTTTCCCCTTTTAAACCCCTCCTTATGGCTCCCTCCCCCCACATCCCCACTTTCACCCTCCGATCGACGTGTCGTACGCACGCGGGTGCGTACGTGGGTGCGGCAGGACAACTTGAACGCAGAAAGCATTTCTGAAGAAATGAGCGTAAGCCATCGTCGTCACGCGAACTCCGCTCAGCCTCGCGCAGCAGCGGCGGTGGTGGCTTTTGGCTGTCCATCGAACAAAGACTGTCACCGCATTGCGTGCTTTCAGATGCTATATACACTACTATACACTGCTTTATACTATGCTATATACTATACATTACACTACACAACTATACACCGCATTATCGCACTGTGCTTTCAGATGCTCTTCTACGGCCGTCTGGAACGCTCTTTCTTCACATATTAGGAAGCCACTGGGAGCTATGCAACTTTCAGATTGACAAACTCATTTCTTTAGAACTGCTTGTTGTTGTTTAATTTGTCGTCCTTCCCCTGGCACCTCCGATTAGCACGGTTAACTACGTAACGGCGCGAAAGAAGTTCGCCGTATGGGTACATACATGGGGAAAATAACTCTATGCCGAGCCCCACCAGCATTAACGTTTGAGACATGTCTCAGCTCGTCGGATTTACTTTGTTTTCACGTGTTGAGACAGTCAAAAAGAGTATCGGTAAAAGCTCTGATACTTGCATTGTATTTGTGCTGTTCACCTTTTGCCGTTGATCTCTGGTCAGACGCTGGTAGTGAGACTAGGCCATAAAGAAGGCTGATGTTTATGGTGTAGGCCAGTCAGTTTCAAAGACAACGCATGTATTAATTATCAGAGCATGTTTGTTTGCATGTTCACCACAAGTCCTGAGTGTGGTTAATGCGGCCTTTATTCCTTGCAAAAAGGTATTTATTTGGTATTCTTGGTTCTTTCGCTAAAGTCATACAGGCGAACCCCACGTAGATACGTGATTTTACCAAAAGAACCAAGACTATGAATTCCTGCAGTCACGAAAGTTTTAAGTCAAAAATTTTCTCTATTTGGTGTTTGAAGATCTTAACACCTCCTCTTTATTGCAAGAAAGGGCAAAACACTCACTGTCACATGGCCTTTCTTTAATATATTATACTTTACTAGCTGTACTACCCAGCTTCGCCCGGGACTTGTATCCACCACGCCCGGCCGCCTTTGTCTCCCCAGTGGCGATGTTAATACGCCACACCAGTTACTCGTTTTGAGGCTGAGTCCCTCCCTCACCGCTCTCCCTCCCTCACCGCTCTCCCTCCCTCACCGCTCTCCCTCCCTCACCGCTCTCCCTCCCTCACCGCTCTCCCTCCCTCACCGGTCTCCCTCCCTCACCGCTCTCCCTCCCTCACCGCTCTCCCTCCCTCACCGCTCTCCCTCCCTCACCGCTCTCCCTCCCTCACGACTCTGTAGAGGACGTGAAACTTTTATGAATTTACCTCAGAGTCGCGTGGTGGGTGTCGAGGCTTAGCACCGTGCAGAGCCTCCGGCCTCGCCTGATTTTGCCACCCGGCTGACGCTGGGTACGGGTGCCGTTCCCCCCCCCCCCCGCGCTACAATAATACTGTCTAATCACTATAATTTTATAATCTACCGACCCTATAATAGTAATTGCACACATTGTGGTGGGGGGGGGAGTGAAGAGGACGTGAAACTTTGATGAATTAACGTCAGAGTCGCGTGTTAATGCGTGCGCCTATTTTTAAGGGGAATTAAAAATGGCGTCCACCCCGCGCCGAAGGCGTCGCTACCCGTTGCCAGGGGCAACCGCCGTCCAATGAAAGCGGCGAAGGTGTGGCTACCCGTTGCCAGGGGCAACCGCCGTCCAATGAAACTGCAGCCCGCGGCGAAGGCGTCGCTACCCGTTGCCAGGGGCAACCACCGTCCAATGAAAGCGGCGAAGGCGTCGCTACCCGTTGCCAGGGGCAACCGCCGTCCAATGAAACTGCGTATGGTCCGGCGACACACACACACACACACAGACAGACAGACAGATTCGCGATTTTATATATATAGATCCATCCCACAAAGGGCCTCTTGCGTTGGTCCTTCTCCCCCCTGTGAGTCATCATGTGACACTCAAGCACCGAATTGATTTGTCATCACACAGGGTGGCACTCGAGAAGTCCTATAGTGCCCAGCGTGGGTCATCGCATGCCTCTCTGGAAGTTAAACGTATGAGTATCGGTGGCGATGAATGACCGAGGAAAGATATTCCCGATTTTGATATATAGTAAAGTCTCAGAGTACGCGGACCCGCTCATAAGCGACCGACCACCCCAATTCATCCTTACACTTTGTGACTTTACTTTCACTACATGCATGGGGTCAAATCACCCCCCGCCATGTGTATTTGAGGGGATGTAACTGTATTGCCCACGCAAGAAACGTGTCCAAAACAACATCTAGTGTTCTAGTCTCGTGTTAATAATCTCATTTTCTATCTGACTTGGATGCTACCGATGATTAGTGAATCATTTACTGTACAATACTTTGACTTCAATAAACATTTATGTACATTTATATAAATTGTATATACACTTACATTTTATATATTACACTCATATAGTAGTTTCTAGTGATATAGTAGTATATAGGAGTGTATATATTTCCAATGTATATCTATACTCATACAGGCGAACCCCAACTTATGAAAAATTGCGCTTACATGGAGGTACACGGAGCCTACCTACTCCCGCATACTCTGAAACCTTACTGTAGATATAGCAATCTTGTAGTGTTACTCTGGTCTTATAATTTTTCATTTTAATTAAACCGAAAAAAAGCCCAGACTCTCTAAGAATCCACAAATGTCCAACACTGTCACGTGGCCTTTATATTTATACTTTATCCATCCCAGAGGCCGCTCGTGTCGATCCATCCTCCCCCTGTGAGTCCTTACGTGATACTCAAGCACCGACTTGATTTATCGTCACACGGTGGCACCCTGTAGGGCCCCGTGTGGGTCATTGGGTGTCTCTTTGGAAGTCAAATGTAATAGTACTGGTGGTAGTGAATGACATAGGACTTATAATCCCTATTTCGATATATATGCACAGCAATCTTGTAGTATTGTCTTATCATTTTTTTTTAAACGAAAGTGAAAAGAGCCCAGGCTATCTAATAATCCACAAATGTCCAACACTGTCAAGTGGCCTTTGTTTTACACTTTATTCATCCTACCGAGGGACGCTAATGTTGGTCCATCTTCCCCCTGTGAGTCCTCATGTGACACTTGAGCACCGATTTGTAGGCGAAGCCCTTGCCGCACACGGGGCATGTGTGCGGCTTCTCGCCTGTGTGCGACCGCACGTGGCACACGAGGTTCAGCTGCTTAATGAAGCCCTTCTCGCAGAAGGAGCACCTGTAGGGCCGCTCGCCCGTGTGCGTCATCAGGTGGTCCTTGAGGAACTTGGCGACGGTGAAGGACTTCGCGCACAGGTGGCACTTGTGTGGCCTGTCGCCCGTGTGTGTCATCATGTGCCGCTGGTAGGGTGACGACTGGATGAAGCCCTTGCCACAGACGGGACAGACGTGCGGCCTCTCGCCGGTGTGCGTCCGCGTGTGGTTCTGCAGCGACGATGACTGCGAGAAGCTCTTGCCGCACGCCGAGCACCTGTGCAGCTTCTCGCCCGTGTGGATCCACATGTGGCTGCGCAGGGTAGAGGGGCGCACGAAGCCCTTGTCGCACGCAGGGCACTGGTAGGGCTTCACGAGCAGGTGGATCTTCTGGTGGCGCCTGAGGCTCTTGGTCGTCGCGAACGCCTTGCCGCATTCTGGGCAAGCATGAGCCCGCACGTGCCCGCCCTCGGGCGGCGGCCTCCGTCGGGGTTCGTCGTCGTCATCATCGTCGTCGTCGTCGCGCGTCCGTTCGTCGGAGCGCCTCGCGGGTCCGCCCTCCGCTGCTATGCCTCGCGTGGGCGGGTGTTCAAATATAAACGACGACAGGACGAAATACGTCGTGTGTTATTTTGTTGTTGTAAACCCACTACCTCCCTGCGCACCGGGCGAGGTAGTTAACATCTCGTCAGGTTCAGGATCGAACCCACAACCTCCTGTACCCCAGGCAAGGTAGTTAACATCTCATCAGGGTGGGGATCGAACACACTACCTTCTGTACACCAGGCGAGGTAGTTAACATCTCATTAGGGTCGGAATCGAAGCCACTATCTCCTGTGCACCAGGCGAGGTAGTTAACATCTCATCAGGGTCGGGATCGAACCCATGACCTCCCTGAGCACCAGGTGAGGTAGTTAACATCTCCTATGCCACTACTGGCATGCCCCACACACACTCACCGTCGCTCTCATTCTCTACCTCCACCTCCACCTCCGCCACACCCGACGAAGGCGCCCAGCCGTCTCCTCGCCAGGCCGATGGGGAGATGTCGTGAACCGCTCGCTCCTCATCGGGCTCCAGGGGCTCTTTTTTGATGCGAAGGCCTCCTCCCACTCCCACTCCGCCTTCTTCGCTCCGCCCCTCCTCATCCTCCTCCTCTTTAATTTGAATGTCAGCTCCCTCGGCTGGGAGATGAATATCACCCCTCACCTCTGTTAACGAAGTCGACGACAAAAATAATAATTATCAAGTGCGACGACGCGTCTACGTCGTAAAAGAAGCAAGCGACGTCATCATCGCTGCATAACAAAAGTCATTTTGTTAGGGTTAGAGCGCGTTTAGATATAAGTATAAATGTTGTGTCGTTAAACCCTCCACCATTCGACACAGCCAACCAGTAAGGGGTTCGTCACGTAAACAAAACGTGGCCAATCAAGTTGACGAGTTCAGCACTAAACCGGCAATGTGTGTGTGTAGGAGAGTGAAACCGACAACACACATTTACAATTCCAGTTCCGTGACGGGTCGCCGGTGTAATTACAACAAAGACATCCACAACAACAACAACCAGGCCTCATCAGGCGATTAGCCAGAATTGTGGAGAAATCCTGCTCCTGTTTCCTGTCTTAAATAAAATACCTCCATTCCTATTATTTCAGAATAATTGGTATCTTTTATTTAAGACTACAGGAGGAGGGGTGGAGAAAGAGGATTAGGAGGAGGGGGGTTGAGGTGGAGAAGTGGAGGAGGGGGACGAGGAGGAGGAGGAGGGGGGTGAGGGGGGTGAGGGGGAGTGGGGGAGGAGGAGGGGGGAGGAAGGGGAAGAGGAAAGGGGGGAGGGGGAGAAGGGGGGGAGGAGGAGGGGGGGAGGAGGACGAGGAGGGGGGGAGGAGGATGAGGAGGGGGGGAGGAGGGGGACGAGGAATCTGATAAGCTATAAAGCTCTTTGTCACAAATTGTCTGGGCACGGAGGTCAGAACTTTGCAACAGTAAAGACACTCACCCCGGTATTCCTCCTCGTCCTCCTCTCTCTCCTCTTTCACCTGGAGCCACGTCTGCCTCCGAGGGTTACGCTCCAAACGACCACTCAATGCCTTCACGGTCGGATAAGGGACCACTCCTCCTGTACGGGGGAAAAAAATCAAGACACGTGAATGTCAAATCTTATAATTTTATTTTTATTATTATACAAAAATGCAGCATTAGTTTATTATAACTGGAGAAATTAATCCCATGATCTGCACAGCTCTTTTTCTACAGATGTCCAGTAAGGAGGGCACAGGGTCTGAACGTTAAAGCAATGCAGGGACTGCTCTACTTACAAACATTCGACTTACGAATTTTCAGAGATGCAAACAAACCTGTCTGTATGTCTAGTTACCTGTTTGGACCGAGAGTCGTAAGTTCATCTGCCGGGCAATAGATGGCGGTAGTGGCATCTGCATCTACAGAACATGAAGTGCCAGTGGCATCTACATCTACAAGAGATTATACAACTTTTAAAGGCATTCCCCGTTACTCTTTGGTTCTTTCGGTAAAGTCACATAGAAAGAAAATAAATTAAATAATAAAATACGCTGTTTCGATTGCAACACAATTTAGTTCTACCTGATGACGGTTGTTTGTGTTGCAATCGAAACGTCGTATTGTATTATTTAATTTATTTTCTTTCTATATGACTTTACGGAAAGAACGAAAGAGTAATTCCTGCAGTCACGAAAGCTTCAAATCAAGTTTGGCATTCCCCGTGTTTAGTGTACACACCGTACAACATATTTGGAATCGACAGGCGTAAAATCTGGCGTAAACAAATCGAATTACGAACAGACCTCTGGAACCTTCATGCTCTGCAGATGTCATTACACATGTTTAAACTCTCTCCTCAGATTTTCACCATCTGACACTGTTTTAGCCCGATGTATGAGTGTCTTGATGAGAGAAAATTTCTGTGCGGGTGATGATGCGAATATGCATTCAGATAGGCATCAGCGTGCGTTCCCTTTCAGTAAACGCTGTGTGTTATTTTACCATTTAGGCCATGTTCAAGTAAAATATCTAGGAAAGGGAGTGTGTTATTCACATCCCTTTCCATGGTGAACTGGATGGCTGGGTTTTGTGCATTGAGATGATTTAGAAATGTATTAAGTGTATCTTTACCATGTGGCCAGACAACCAAAGTCTCATTCACATATCTAAACCAAAAAGATGGTTTTAATGTACTTGAGGCAAGTGCTCTTGCTTCAAAATTTTCCACGTACAGATTCGCTATAGCAGGAGATAAACTGATAAATGAAAGCCCATTGCTGCTCCTTCCTTTTGTTAAAGAAATCACCTTTCCATAAGAAAATAAGTGTTATTTAGACAATGGTCAGCTAGTTTTGGAATATCTGTTGGTAAACCTGTCTTATTTACTAGTGTGTTAAGTAATGTAAGTGACTCGTTAACTGGAACCTTAGTGAATAGAGAAATTACATCAAAACTCACCAGAATATCATTAGAGTTAAGTTAAATATCTTTAATCACATTCCCAGGATATTCTGAATTTCTTATGAAGATGTCCAACTGATGTATTTGGTTAGTTACATATTTTGCTAATCGATATGTAGCAGAGCCTATTGTACTTACTATGGGTCATAATGGGATACCGATTTCATGAATCTTTGGTAGCCCATACAGTCTAGGTGGTTTTGAGGCCCTTGGCTTAATTTGGTATTGCTCAGCCTTGAGAATTAATTAATTTGCAATGATTGCAGTAGTCTTACGTTCTAAAGTATTAGTTGTATCTCGTTTAATTTTAATATAGGTATAGAGAAGTGCAGTGGCGGCTCCTGCAAAATCTCTCAGGGGGGGCAAATGTCTGGATGATTGATAAGGATAAGGTCCACCCATGCAATGGATAAATTAACAGCTTAAGCATGTAAAGGCAACTTCACTTCTTTAATATTAATGAAAAATAAAGTGACTCTTACAATACATCTTGTTTGTTTCTATACTCACTATTAAAACAAACCACTCAAGTTTATTGTATTAAAGATTCCACTAGATTTTGATTTAAAACTTTCGTGACTGCAGGAATTCATCTTCTTGGTTCTTTCGGTAAAGTCACGTAGAAGGGAAGTAATAAAATAATAAAAATAAAACATAATAAAATTATTCTCACGACGTTTCGGCCACAACGCAAGCAGCCGTCCTCAGGTGAAAACCAGGTCCGTCGAGGCGACAGAGTCTGAATGAAACAGCACACGAGCTTGGAGCATATATATAAGCTGGGCGCCTTGACAAATGAATTTGCATATCAAGAGGAATTTAGCATATTTATGGGAAATGCAGGAATGTGATTAGTACTGCATATGCATGTGCATTATGCAGGATTAACAGCATCAAAGGGAGCTGCAGTTGCTGCTGCTGCAGTTGCTGCTGCTGCTGCTGCAGTTTCTGCTGCTGCTGCTGCAGTTTCTGCTGCTGCTGCAGTTGCTGCTGCTGCTGCAGTTGCTGCTGCTGCTGCAGTTGCTGCTGCTGCTGCATTTGCTGCTGCTGCTGCAGTTGCTGCCTTATCCATTTTAATATAACACTATGTATTATTCTACCCACCCTAATGTGTATCACACTGCTATATATTTACTATACAATTACGACACCATACATTACTCTGCACACTGCACCATGCCAGTGAGTGGAACGTTGTGGCCGAAACGTCGTGAGAATAATTTTATTATGTTTTATTTTTATTATTTTATTACTTCCCTTCTACGTGACTTTACCGAAAGAACCAAGAAGAAGATTCCACTAGGTGGTGATAAATTATATTGTTGGATGAAACGTGCTTACGTATGATGATGTTAGCACGTATGATGACGTAAGCACGTTAGGGCTTGCCCTCCCGGAAGCCATAGAGAATGCATTGGAGCGCTCGCCGTTCGAAAAAAACATCTTTCAATGTAAGTCTATGGGGCCACTCGGGGCGATTCTCAGCCGGAGTGAAATCGCCCAAAAAGAGGCGGTACTCCACAGAACGTGACATGACGCTGATTGGACTATATCCAGAGGCTGACAGTGACGGCTAGCGTGACTCTGTGGTTCAATGACATTGGTGGTGCGTCGCCCAATCGCCCTAATGAAGAAACCGCCCCTGGAGAAGTGGATAAATCTGATGTCTTCACTTGTGAGAGAATCAGGTGCCAAGACTAGAGGAGAGGGAGGGGTTAATGTATACATAACGTACGCAACAACATCACGCGTGTGTATGTCTAAATTAGCGGCCAGTTTCCTTTCCATCACCGCCCGCATCACCAGGTCGTCTTCTATATACGCGGAACCCTTTTTCTAACTCTCTACGTTGAGTCACCCCTTTGGCTCCAGCTTAGATGCAGCAGCAGAAGTGGCAGCGGCAAGATCCTTCCACAGCGATACATTTGGAGTTGCTGATATCTCATCTCCGCCACAGAGCGAGAGACAGCTGTGATGACAACAACGATGATCGTGCGACGCGTCAAACTCAGTGAGAGTTCTGTGGCGAGAAGGAAGCAAAACGCAGAGACACCACTCACCGGGAGCACCAGTAGTAGCAGCGGCGGTAGCGGCGGCAGCAGCGGCGGCAGCAGCGGCGGCGATGTCTTCCCATCGCACGTTGGCTCTGCGTGGCATCTTGCCTGCCCAGGGATCTTCTCTGCAGCTTCTTGTCTGACGGGGGGGAGGGCAACTTCCGCGATCCAAAAAGGGAGAGCCTCGGTGGACGTCACGCGTTTAGATTATTTGGCTGCCATACATTTCTACATAAGCCACTACTTCGTTGAGCTGTCAAATGCAAGTTTCTGATTATTTAAATTCTGATATCTCTTGGCATTTACAATCTGCCATTCTCTGTCCTCACTTAAACTGACTTATTGGAGTTTAAGTGCGAAAATGTAAATCTTACACAATAATTGCGGTTATTATTAAGTAAAAAATTCTTTAAATTGTGTGGAATATTTTTATGTCTACCGGTCCGAATTGCCCTTTGAACAAAAATAATAATCGTCCTAGCTCAGCGGAGCTTTGCTACGGGAAAGACTCCTCTACTTACGAACGAGTTGGATTGCAAAGATCTGTTCGTAAGTCGATTTTCTCGTAATGCTCAACTTTACTCCTGTAGATTCCAAACACGTTGTTTGTGGCATATACACTAAACACGGGGAATGGTTTTAAAAGTTGTATAATCTCCTGCAAATATAGATGCCACTGTTTCTTCACGTTCTGCAGATGTAGATGCTACTGGTTCTTCACTTTCTACAGATGTAGATGCCACTGGTTCTTCACGTCCCATAGATGTAGATGCCACTGGTTCTTCACGTTATGTGGATGTAGATGCCACTGGTTCTTCACATTCTGCAGCTGTAGATGCCACTGTTCTTCACATTCTGCAGATGTAGATGCTACTCGTTCTTCACTTTCTGCAGATGTAAATGCCAATGGTTCATCACATTCTGCAGATGTAGATGCTACTGGTTCTTCACATTCTGCAGATGTAAATGTTACTGGTTCTTCACTTTCTGCAGATGTAGATGCCAATGGTTCCTCACATTCTGCAGATGCTACTGGTTCTTCAATTTCTGCAGATGTAGATGCCACTGGTTCTTCACGTTCTGTAGATGTAGATGCCACTGGTTCTTCATGTTCTGCAGAAGCAGATGCCAATGGATCCTCACATTCTGCAGATGCTACTGGTTATTCACGTTCTGTAGATGTAGATGCCACTGGTTCTTCATGTTCTGTAGAAGTAGATGCCACTGGTTCTTCATGTTCTGTAGAAGTAGATGCCACCACCACCTATGCGCAGCAGTTGACCTTATGACTCTCGGCCAACTGGACATACTGCCAGGTTTGTTCGTATCTCTGAAAGTTTGTAAGTCGAATGTTCGTAAGTAGAGGAGTCATCATAAAAACTCCTGAGAACCTCGGATTCTACACGATTGTCCGCGCAAATAAACCGCAATGGTATTAGGCGTGGGTACACACTGGGAAAGTGCGAGGAGGGGGATGATGTGCAGGAGGAGAGAGATGATGAGGTGCAGGAGAAGGAACAGAGGAGCAGAATGTGGATCGCCCCCGCGCGCCGCTTGCGCAGCAACAGCAGGAGGATCAGCAGCAGGAGGATCAGCAGCAGGAGGATCAGCAGGAGGGGCAGGAGGATCATCAGGAGGAGGAACAGCAGCGGGAGGAGGAGCAAGAGCAGCAGCAGCAAGGGCAGCAGCATCAGCAAGAGTAACAGAAGCAGTAGGATCAGCAGGAGGAGCAGCAGCAGGAGGATCAGCAGCAGGAACAACAGAAGCAGCAACAGGAGCAGCAGCAGGAGGAGCAACAGAAGCAGGAGGAGCAGCAGTAGGAGCAGCAGCAACAGGAGCAGCAGGAGCCACCCACCGGGTCTCGCCCTCCTCTCGGTTTCCCCGCAGCAGCAGCCTCGAGTGGCGACCCCGAAGCGATTGGTAAACACAAGGACGTGACGAGTGGTGGACGTGATGACGAGTGGTGGACGTGATGACGTGTGGTGGGTAGATGTGACGAGTGGTGGACGTGATGACGATTATACGTGTTGACTCGGGGACGATGACGATGGTGGGTAGACGTGATGATGAGAGCTGGTAGACGCGATGACGTTGTGGTAGACGTGATGACGCGAAAAGTTGGTGGGAGGAGTTGAGTCTGAGTGAACGATGATGCCCAGCAAGAGGGCGGCACGATGGGAGGCTAAGTTGGTGCACTTGGGAAGCAAAATGCGGAACCTCCAATTAGCACAGCACATACATCTACGATACACTACATTATACACTATATACTACACTAACCACTGCATTATACACTACATTATACACTACATTATACACTATTATATACTACATGCTTGTACACTACTATATATTACACTATACACTACATTATACACTATACACTACTATATATTACACGACTATACACTACATTATACACTACTATACATTACATTATAACACTACTATACACTACTATATACTAAACTATACACTACTATATGCACGACTCTACACTACATTATACACAACTATACACTACACTATACACTACTATATACTACATTATACACAACTATACTACACTGCATTATACACTATATACTACACTATACACTACTATATACTACACGACTATACACTATTCTATGGTTCTTGCGGTAAAGTCACGTAGATATAATTTTTTTAAACAATAATACGTTCCTGAGACCCATTGGTAAGTCGAACGATGGTACACAATTAGGAACGCAACAATGCACCGTTTTAAATGCCCATACGGTCAGTGTTATTAAATGTGTTACGGTTCAACAAAAATGAGAAACATTGTTAAATTGATCAATAAGAAAGTGTACATATGCATGTAATACTGTAATAAAGAATATATTGTAAAAAAAACAAATAAAGTTACGTAAAAAAATAGGGGTTTAATGAGGCCGCATAATTGCACACACACACAACCGCCATTTGCCACGAAGTGGTGATGACATCACCACGGCGCTTGTGCCTGGCTATGTGCACTTTCAGGCCACGTGAAGTGTCGAACACCCGCTGGCAGGAGGTCACGGGACAGACCTAGGTACCATGGGTTGACTGAGATGACTGGCAAATGCATCAGCTGTGCCCCCGTCTGTACAAACTTGCTGCGTTTTAGCCGGCGCCCCAACTGCCCAGTAGCGCCCTTGACGAGTCTCCTCCACAGAGGCCGATCTTGACACCGCTCGTACCGGTCATCGGCGAGTCCACTCAGCTCCACATCCTCGTGTACATCATTCCATCTCTAGCCCGTGCTGCGTCCGTTTAGCCCCCTCTATCTGGCTGAACAAAAGCTGTTTCGGCATGCGGTGACTGGGCATGCGGGCTACATGATCCAGCCATCGCAGCCTTGCCTGCCGGAACTCACCGATGGGACTTTGTCCAGAGCTTTCAAGGAATTGTGAGCTCCTCACACAATCCAGCCTGGTTAATCTCAGGTTGAATTGTAGGCAGGCAAGCCTGAATGTTTCTAACTGGTAAAGATGTTCCATTAGGGCGGGGTCCACGTTTCGCAAGCATAAACGGAGGGTATGACCATGGCCGGGAAGACCCGAAGCTTCGTGTGGAGCGACAGATCAGGTAGATTCCACACAGATTTACGCAGCTGATGAAACGATGCCACTCCACTACCGTCAACCTGGAGCTGGTCATAAGCTCACTGCCCAGGTATGTAAAACATCTACACTTTATCCAGAATTGCCACATCACCAATGGGGAGTTGAAGGTGTGGAGTGTGTGATGGCACAAACTACCCAGGTAGGTGCTAGTTTTGGTGGGGCTGATGGTCAGGCCACACCTCTTAGTGGTACACTCCAGGTCTAGCAGCAGTGCCTCCAACTCATTCTCTATGTGAGCAGCAATTACCAGAGTCATCAGCATATATAACATGGTTAAATTTCGATTTAAAGCTTTCGTGACTGCAGGGATTCATCTTCTTGGTTCTTTCGGTAAAGTCACGTAGAAGGAAATTAATAAAATAATAAAAATAAAACATAATTAAATCATTCTCACGACGTTTCGGCCACAACGCAAGTAGCCGTCCTCAGGTGAAACCAGGTCTGTCGAGGCGACAGCGTCTGAATGAAACAGCACACGTGCTTGGAGCATATATATAAGCTGGGTTGGAAGGGGGGGGGAAGGGCGCCTTGACAAAATAATTTGCATATCAAGAGGAATTTAGTATATTTATGGGAAATGTAGGTATGTGATTAGTATTACTTATGTCCGTGCATTATGCAGGATTAGCAGCATCCAAGGGAGGGGATATGGGAAATGCAGGTATGTGATTAGTACTACTTATGTCCGTGCATTATGCAGGATTAGCAGCATCCAAGGGAGGGGATAGGGGTAGCATTAATAAAGGGAAGAAGTAATAATAGTATATAGTATAAAAATTTATATGCTTAATACAATGTACAAAGTAATATATAGTATCGTAATTGTATAGTAAATATACAGCAGTGTGATATACATTAGGGTGGGTAGAATAATACATAGTGTAATATTACAATGGATGGTGGTTTATAGCAATACAGTATATAATTAAATGTTGGGTTTGTCTATGGCAGTATATAGTACTGTTAGTAACTCAGCTTATTGTAGAGTATATTTAGTATAATGATGATACTATGTAGTTTATACTTTAGTTGTTTACGTGGTGGTTTTAGTTACTGCAGCTACATACTATTAACACTTCTTCCCTTTATTAATGCTACCCCTATCCCCTCCCTGTGATGCTGCTAATCCTGCATAATGCACGGGCAAAGTAGCACTAATCACATACCTGCATTTCCCATATCCCCTCCTTTGGATGCTGCTAATCCTGCATAATGCACGGACATAAGTGAAGTATGGGAATTGACGGCAGGAACTTCTTGACGGGAACACACTTTTTATTAAATCTTTACGTGTCAAAATACAACGTGTAGTCTCCTTTCTTCCGACTTCACACTCCACTACTCTCGTGTAAACTCTAGGCCTCTGGCTACACACGATACCCTTCATTCGTGTAGACCCTACGCCTCTGGCTACACAATACACTCGACTCGTGTAGACCCTATGTCCCTGGCTACACAATACACTCGACTCGTGTAGACCCTATGTCCCTGGCTACACACACTGCATTCGGCTCGTGTAGACCTTATGCCTATGGCTACACACACTACACTCGCCTCTGGGTTACACAGAGTCCCGGTCCCGTTAGGACAGCGGGACTAGGTACCGCAGGGCCCTAGGTCTTCATCCCCGTCTTCATTCTTCGCTGGTTACACACTGCCCTCACGCCTGTGTGCATCCCCTTTTATAGCCCCTGCTCACGAGAGGCGGAGCTGATGCGTACTTCAGCGTGAGCATCGCTCCTTAATGAACCAATCACGACGCACTCTCTCTACGATCCGTTTTCCCCAGCGCGTGTTAACACTCCTCCACCAATCACACCGCGCTGCCACCCGATCACTCCCTCTCAGCACGTCACCGGTCCACAGCCAATCAGTACCCCGTAACCCACGACCCCGCGCTGACCCCTGATCCTCCACCGTCAGCGCACGTCACCACCTACACAGCCAATCATTACGCGCTGGCATACGATCTCTAATTCCAGCGCGTATCACCTCTACATCACCCCCTCCCACATAGCTTGCAGCCGGCCCGGCTGTTAACCAACAACACAACCTAACGTCAATGCAGTAACAAAGAAACTCCACCTCTCAGTGTGCCCCGTAACGCAACAACAACAACACAACACTTAAATATGAAGCAATATACAGCCCGACGAACAACACAATAAAAGCGAACACCGGAAAACGAACACAATAAAAGCGAACACCGGAAAACGAACGCGCCAAGTGTCTCTGTGACTAAACGCAGTGCCGAGGCGCTCCGGCTGTCTCGACTCCTCACGTGGCAGGTCACACAAAGTAGCGCGACCTAGCGCGAGTCCGTCTGGCCGGTCCGTCGTATGGGACGGGACGTTGGCGACCGTCCGGTGGCTCCGGCCGCTCAAGATCCGGCCGCCGGTGGTCGGCAGCTGTCAGTTCCGAGACACCTGGGAGCGGATCAGGCGGAGACATGTGAGGAGCAGGCAAAGACAATTCCCCCTCAGGGTCGCTGGTCACGTCACATGCTCGGCCCTCATGACACAAGGGGAGGCCATACGGAGGCGAGAACGGTTTCAGTCGGGAGGGGTGGACGTACCAACGGCGTTTTCCCCATTTTATCTGAACGCACTGGGGGCGTGCAACCCGCACGACCTCCACGGGTCCCCGCCACGGCTTCAACAATTTAGGCGACGTAGCCAAAGGTGCCTGCGGGCAATGCAGCCAGGCCCTGTCACCTGGTTCCCAATTGTGCACGGACACCTTCCGTGCCCGCAACCGCTCGTTTGCAATTTGGCGAGCCCGTGAATTAAGCCGTGCGGCCTCCCTTGCCTCTGTCAGCTTATGAATATTAAATTTAATATGCTCTGCCAATTTCAAATTTGCTCGTGGTGCGGACAGACCCAGCTGCGTTTCCATGGGCGGGTCGGCTTCCCGACCGTACATCAGATAAAACGGGGAAAATCCCGTAGCTGCATGGGGGGCCATTCTATACGCGGCGAGGACCCCAGGGACCTGCAGGTCCCAATCAACATGCGCCTCACACACCTGCTGGCACAACATAGAAGTCAATGTCCTGTTAAGCCTCTCCACCATCCCGTCCGTCTGCGGGTGGTACGGGGAGGTACGCACCTTCTTGGTACCCAACAGGTCGCACACCTCTTGCAGTAATTTACTCAAAAAATTTATTCCCTTGGTCAGTCAGCAAGCGTTCGGGAGCCCCCTTGTCCAG